TTTATATTAAAATTAAACAAGTACAATATATTAAAATACTGATAGCTTTATTGTTATTTTATTATGATATTTATATACAATACACTAAAAATATAATTATAAATAGGTTTATAGATATAAAAAAAATAATATTATAGACCAATTATTAGCTGTATAGAAATTTGTTAACCTTAAAATATAGCAGAAGAAATATCAGCATACTGATATTTTATATAGATAGAAACACAAAAAGTTCAAAGTTATGCAATAATAGCTTTTAGAAGACTTTTATGCATATCGGTATACTGATTGATGGTACTAAATAAATTCTGATAGATATAATTACAAAAACAAAAACAAAAAGTATAATTGTCAAAACAAAAAACTTATTCACACGATAATAGTTCTTTAGATATATCGGCATTCTAATAAGTCTGTTAATAAATCAAAACTTATATAAATAAGCGTATCTTCTAATAAACTAAATCTATTGTTCTTGTTCTTTTCACTCTCGCTTTTATATTCACTTGCTTATATATTTTCGCTTGCCTATAATCTTCTCGCATTATAATGAGTCATCAAAAGAAATCTTTTGTAAAAAAAACTATTGACAAAGCAAATTCCAAACACTCAACAACCCACCACCTTAAAGCTTGCTATTGCAATAGTTGTAAGGGTAACCTGGTTGACCTACAGACTAGAAAAACCTACATGTTAAAAAAGAATATTATTGGTATAAAAAGAAATTATCGGGATGTTGGTGAATTTTCAAGTAAAACAACTTTTATCTCTACAATTACACTTCTGAAAATAGAATTTCTGAAAATAGATATCCCTGAAGACCCAATACAAATCGATAGCAATAGTACAGATCATGATTCAGTTGTTCCTTTGTCTGAAGATTATAGTTTTATTTCTAAAGAACAATCTAACAAAGGTAAAAAACCAGTCGGAACAGGCAGAAGGATCAATAACCCGTTATCTATAGACATTATCGATATTTTGTTCTTAGATGAAGATATAGATAAAAGAGAAGAAATTTCATCTGATGAAGATTTATCAGATCAAAATATCGATTTTAGTGTACCGAAACTAGCATTTGAAAATAATAATTCAAAAGAATCCATAGACATTAATAAAGGGTTTATGTGGGTTGCATTATGGATTCTAAAATACCAAAGAAGATATCGGTTGTCCGATATGGCTTCTAATTCTTTTTTTAAATTAATTTGGTATCTTCTAAATCTTTTTGATATAAATGCATGTTCTCTCTTCCCTATTTCATTAGATAAAACACGCAATGATCTTGGTGTTTGCACTCATGTAACAAAATATACAACATGTGAAAAATGTTGTAAATTGTATAATGTTACCAATTTGTCTACAGACAAATCAAATCTGGTCCCTAAAATAAGTCGATGTACTTACCAAGAATTTCTGAACCATCTTATAGCTAATCAAAGACTTCTATGCAATTATCTAATTGCTAAAAAAATTTTAACGTCCAAAGGAGATATGTATAAACTATCATCAATCTATCTGATAGCTTCTTTGAGACATCAATTACAGTCATTGTTCAATAAGAAAGGATTTGAAAAATCATGCAAAAAATGGGCAGATAGATATAATGACCCTGAACAACTTACTAATATATATGATAGAAGAATATAGAAGACTTTTCAATATTCAGAAGAAGATTTACCATTCTTCTGTAAAGAGCTATCAGATAGTCAGCTGGGCTTAATGATTAACCTTGATTGGTTTCAACTATTTAATAACTCACAATATAGTGTCAGAGCAATTTATAGTATTATTTACAATCTTCCACGTGATGAGTGGTTTAAGCCATCAAATATATTGACTTTAGTATTAATACTGAGACCAAGTGAATCTAAATTGCATCAATTAAATTATTATCTAGCACCTTTAATAGACCAATTAATTGGTTTGTGGAATGGTAAGTATATATAATTAATATTTGCTTACTGTATTACATCGAAATAACTCCCAGAGTGTAGGTTAAAAAAAGTAATTCGAATTAAGCTTAATTCAGCCTAAATTAAGCTTAATTTGGATCAATTTTCTTAACCTACACCCGGACATTATTTTGATATAATATGGTAATTATTTTTTTTATTTGCGTATTAATTTATCACATGATTAGGAATCGAATTAGAAAGAACTTTCGAAAGTTCTACCGGTAAATTCATTAGAGTAGCAGTAATTTGGTGTTCTTGTGACATACTGGCTGCAAGAAAATTGTATAGCTTTATTTCTGCTCAAATTGCTTGTTATTGATGCATGAAAAGAGCTAATTTTGATGAAAGAAATCAATCTAACTTTGGTGGATTTGATGATATGAGTCAATGGTTTTGTGAAAGAAATATCAATGAAATTTATTAAAATGCAATTTCATGGAAGAATTGCCACACAAAAGATGCAAGAAGGAAACACACTTCTGAAATATCTGTCTGGTGGTCTGAAATATACCGTCTTCTATACTTTAATTCTGTTCAGTTTACCATAGTAGATCCAATGCATTGCTTATTTTTAGGCATAGCTAAATAGATTATAAAATTATAGATTGAAGAAGAAATTTTATTTTCTCAAGATTTAGCTTTAATGGAACAACAGGCCAAAATAATGAGATATTGGTAGAATTCTAAAAAAGATTGCTACAGAGGATGGTTTCTCTAGCTTTACAGCAGACCAATAGAAGTTGTTTATATTAATATATACATCTTCGATTACTTGAGATTTACTGAAAGATGATGACCAAAGAATTCTAACTTATTTTGTTAGAGCATGCTCAATTTTGGTATACCAGATTTTACCCAAAGACAAATTGGAAGAAGCATATCAGTATTTTCTAAATATGGTGAAACTTATTGAAAAAAAGTATGGTCCTGAAAAAATAATGCCCAATTTATATTTATGTTTACATATATGTGAATACGTTATAGACTACGGACCAATATATGCATTCTGGTGCTTTAGCTATGAAAGAATGAATGGCTTATTAGATAAGTTGAGTGCTTTAAAATTTTTATCAATAGCTATATTAAAATACCAGTAGCTCATATAAATTTTTATTTTTATTTTTTTTTTATATAAAATTTTATTAATAGGTTCATTTCATAATAGTAATAAAAAAATTAAAACTGAATTATTTAAAATTATTCAATCGTATTTTCTATTAGATGAACTTACTATACAAGCCGAAGGTCATTTATATGTATGCTTGCAATTTATTAAGCAAAGAGCGACAATCGGCAGTCTTTCTATTCAAGATGGAAGTCACTATCAGAATTTTTTATTTATGTCAACTAACATTGAAAAAAACTCAGGAACTGGTTGTGAACCTTTTCCAGATGAATTTTTAGAAGCTAAAAATGACTGAAAAATTCTTTTGAAAGAATTATTGGCTCTGTTAACTGAATACTATAATAATGCATATGATTATAGATTCAAGTCAATAAGTGATAGGAATATTGATACATCAGATGCTATACCGGTTTTGCCTAAAGTAACAGAATATGGAAAAGTAAAAATCGGTGATGAAATATTTGGATCAATATCCTCAGCAAGACATAAAAGATCAGCAAAAATTTTAGCCAAGTTTATATCAGATGATAATTTCACCGACATATATCTGGGTATCATTCAATTCTATTTCGAGCACATTGTATAGCTACTAGAAGGCCCAAAAAAGCATAGTTTGGCATTTGTATGATAGTATAAAGCTGTAGACAGCCGTAAAATTAGGTATCATTGCCAAGTTGATGATATTTGTAATATTGAATTGTGGAATCAGAGCTTTTATAATGTAAGTAGGGATTGTATAATCCCTATACATAATATTTTAGGTTGATTTGTTTCTGGTACTGTTATAGTTGGAAAGAAAGACCCGAGAGAATATATGTCTGTTATTTCTATTAATAGAAAGTTTTATATTTAATTTATGTTCATATAATGTAATTTACCAGATATTATATTAAACGTTTATTATTATAAAAATCTATATAAATTTATAGATTAATCGATAGTTCTATCGATTTATTTGCTATATTATCTAGTTATATCAGAATAAATATAAATTTATCAATAGAAATATCGATATGCCAATAGACCTATAAAATATAAAATTACTATTAGAGACATATTAACTTCCGATATGTTCATAATATTAATATGACACGATATTTTATAGGGACCTACTATTTCTACCATAGAAATTTGCTATTTCCACCATAGTTGACCACATGACACATGATCTGCTGGCTATTTCTGACAAATTGCGAGAGGTCACGTGATACACACTAAGATTGTATCACTTACGTGATTTATCAAGATTTTGTTATATTGATTTACAGTGTTTAGAAATATGTAAAGACGCTTGGACATTCTTGGACTTGGATTCAGACATGATCTTGAACATTAAAAATGCACAACCCCTGATCAAAGTTGCACGATTATAGAGGTCAGATCTTTCGGTTAATGAAGCTTAATGATCTCTTTTAAAGATTAGGTAAGCTAACATAATTCGCTTTTGAGTCAGAGGTATAGGTATTAATGTGTATATTACTCATGATCTTAAATTTTGCATATCCTAATTACATGGGCTGCCGTCAATAGAAATCAAGCAGATTGACACATATCTCGATAAATTTTGAATTTATTATTGGATTAAATCACATACTATACAAGAACAACTGTATAACAAACCTCTTTTACATGATTTTTTTATAAAGAGTTAATGGATCTTTTATTAGTTGAAAGTAAAGGTAATTGAATTATCATTTTCGCTTTCATTGACTTAATATTACTATTTGTATCTAAGCTAAACTTTCTTTTTTTTTATTTGTAATACCTGGTCTTTTAAATATATTTATTGATAGAACAACGAAATATAATAAAACAAAAAATAAAAAGAAATTCTATATGACTACTGCTAAGTTTTATTTCAATTTTTTTTTTTTTTTTTTTTTTTACTACTTTTGCTATATAGTCTTTAAATACGTTTAAGCCTCACTATCTTCACTTGTACTTTCCGCATTCGAGCATGTTCTACTATTATGCCCGGATTCACGACATATACCACATTTTCTTCCTGATTTAACCAATTCAAAAGCAGATAGGTCTCTTTCAGTAGATGATTGAGCATGGTTTCTCGCCCCAACTGGATATTCCCTTGTTTGCCTTACTTGTGGATTCTGTACGACTGTAGTTGATTCTTGGAATAAGTCTGGCATCTTACTTATAATTGCACTTCTTTGGTGAGCTGATAGAGTACTAAATTGCTGGCTATATTCTTTCCACCTCTGTTGTAAAACATCTTTGATTTCGGATGGTCTTTGCTGATCTAATTGGTGTTCTTGAATTCTCCAATGTTGATGGAAATCGATAAGTTGTAAACATTGATTTCTTTCAAGAAGTTTCTTAATTGCATGAGCGCAAGGAAGGCCCATCGACGACTTAAAAGTACCACTACAAGGTTGTAGTGGATTTTCCAGTGTTGCATTAGATGCCTTTAAAAATTGTTCATGAACCTTTTTCAATGTGAAAGTAGATACCTTGGTGACAACTTTCGCATAGAATAATATGTTTTGTACGTGAGGAATTTTAATCATTTCCTGGGAGATTATTGTTTGAATTTCTTTATATTGATTTTCTAATGCTAAAGAAATTCTTTCATGAACAATATGAAGATCCCCAACTGATACTTGAAGATACCTTTTTAACACCACATGGGCCCTTCTACCTGTAATGTTACTACATTACCCAGGTGCAAATAATGGTCTATCCAAAGACTCACAAAGTGATCTTTAAATGGCAACTATGTATCCTGCAAATATGTAATGATTGAAGTTTGGTTATTGTATTTTTTCACCAGCCCTTCCCAGTTACTATCAAAATCAGCCTCAGTTTGAGACTTTATGAGGTTAGACCAGCATTCCATGAATTCAATCCATTCATCATTTATTTGAAAGTGGTGCTTACAGCTAGTCAGCACATTTTTTTCAATGTGCCAAACGCATAAAACATTTTGAGATTCAGGAAACACAGTGTGTACAGCATGCATTAAGGCTAATTCACAATCTGTTACAATAACTTTAGACTTTGGAACATTCTCGAAAATGTGAGCAACATGATTAAGAGCCTACATATAGTCATCTTCTTGTTCTGATTTTAAGAACGCAAAGCAAGAGGAGAATGTGGTGTTAAAACTTGTCATGCCAACAACGTGAAGCAATGGCATCTTAAACTTGTTAGTCTTATATGTACAATCTATTAAAAGAACAGAGTTATATGTTTTGGTAAGTGCGATTGATTTAGAATATGCAAAAAAGAGATGGGTTAAATTGTCATTTTGATCACATTGATAGTCATGTTCAAAGTTTCCTTCTACAAGCTTATCAAGAAGAGCCTGAATTGGTGTACAACTCTGAAAATTATCACAGCAAATTTTATCCCTAGCATTATAGATAGTTTTTAAGATTGCCAATTTACCCAGGTCATCTTGGCGAAGAGTAGAAAGTATTTCACGAAGGTGAACATCTGCCGTAGACATTTCTCTAACTCTTTGCTGGTCTTTTTCATTTAATCAGTGACTTGATGGATGGCCTGAGATGTCTTGTGATACTTCGTGATTATGCCTTTCGTTTTTTATTGTTAAATGCCATTGACCATCTTTTATCTTCTTGCTATATAGCTCAAAAGGACAATCTATTAGCCTTGTACTTGTAGCTCTTTGGCAAGTTTCATCAGTGAGATTTAATCGATTAATGTAATGACCGCCTCTATCACACTGCAAATAGACAAATTTTTCTTGCTCAGATCGTTTGATGCTCATAGCATATTCATGGCTCAAGGTATAGGTTTGAACATGATTAATGAATGCTTCATGACTTTCAAAGTTACCAGTTGAGAGTAGGGACAGAGACATAATTTATGGTTTATAGTTTCAAGTATAAATTTGTGTATTAAGACTATCAAGGAATTCAGATATGCAAGAATGTTTTATTAATGCTTTTTTACTTTACAAAGATTTTATTGATGAGTTTATTAGAGTAGATTGAGAATTATCTTTGAAGTTATTGCGAACTTGCTGGTATATATGCTCTTTTTATACTTTAATTCTTACAAAAGGATCTATCAATTTCATTTTATATTTGAGCGATAGCTAATTTATTATTTTTAGAACTGCAAACAGGAGTATTTTATTTTACTTTCTTTCTTTATCTGAAAAATTTAAATTTTT